CAGAGAGGAAGAGAGAGGGATAGAGAGTTAGAAGCATCGGTGAGAGAAAATCATCGACCAGCTGCCTCTTGCACACCCCCTACAGGGGATGTGCCCTTGACTGGAATCGAACCCGGGACCTTTCAGTCTGTAGGCTGACGCTCTATCCACTGAGCCAAACCGGTTTTGGCTGTCCCTATCTCTTTTCCTCTCTAAAATAAATGGAAAAACATCGTCAGGTGAGGATTAGAAATAGATAAATAGCCGGGACCGGTTTAGCTCAATGGATAGAGCATTGGCTTGGGGACTGAAGGGACCCGGGTTCGATTCCGGTCAAGGGCATGTACCTTGGTTGCCGGCATATCCCCAGTAGGGGGTGTGCAAGAGGCAACTGATCGATGACTCTCTCTCATCGATGTTTCTCTCTATCTCTCTCCCTTCCTCTCTGTACAAAATCAATAAAATATATTTAAAAAAATAGATAAATAAAATACCCCTCAAAAGGATGCTCCTTTTAAGGATGTCCTTGGGAGGTCTCCATTGTGCTTCCAGTGGTCCCCAGAGCTGGCCTCATATTTCCAGCTCTCTCCTCCAGACACACGCTAGAATTGCACTCGCCCACCCTGGCAATGTGGGTGGGCCATGGACCAGCTCTGGCCCACGAGTTAGGAGCAGAAGTGTAGACGGTCATCTCCCACCAGACAGCCCTCCAGAGCGCTCCCGCTTCCCCTGGCAGTGCCATGGCCACGTGTGCGATGGAGGCTGCTGGTCTTCCGGGCTCCGCTGACCGTCAGAGTCCCCAGCACTGAGTTCCCACCCAGGTTTTCCCACACCCTCCACCCGGTGATGCTGGCTGCATCCGTTCAGGATGTGGGTGTTCGTTGACACATCTGTGCTCTGTGGCAGGTTGCGCCTGCATCCCCAGCCCAACCCTCGAGGTGCGCTCCTGCCTGGCAGGCGGTCCTGGGACAGACGTGGAACGTTCGTGGTGATGTGCAGCCGGGAGGACCTGGGATGTCAGGCTGGTTTTCAAGGATCAGAGCTGGTCTGATCTGAATATGAATTTATGGCTGGGACAGTGCTTAGTCCATCAGAATGGATGCCTTTTTACATTTTTATTTTGGGACCATTTGAATAATTTATGAATTTTAAATGTTTTCTGAGGACAAATAATCAGTTGGGGATTTTATGTTGATATCACTTGAGACTCTTTTCTATGCATACTGCCTTTAACAAGGGGTCTGCGAACACATTGCATTTCCCTCCTTACTGAGGCCTGAGCTAGATTTTTAAATCACTGCCTGGCAGGTGCAGCACGCACTCAAAGGCGCCTGCCGCCACCTAGTGGCCGTGTCTCCTAATTGATGGACCAAGGTTACATGTTGAATCTGCAAACAAAACATATGTAGTAACATTAGCTAAAATTTACTGGTGAGTTGCCTCCAGTCTCTTAAAACATATAGTTGTCCCCTGACCGGTGTGGCTCTATGGTTTAGACCTGTGAACCGGGAGGTAACAGTTTGATTTCCTGGTCAGGGCACATTATGGGGCGTGTAGGAGGCAGCCAGCCGGTCAATGATTCTCTCTCGTCCCTGATGTTTCTATCTCTCTTCCTCTCCATTCCTCTCTGAAGTTAATTAAAAGGTTTTAAAAACATATTTGTCATTATTTATTATGTCGTTATTGGGGCAATAGGAGTAGATCCTCTGGAATGAGAAGTGGCATGTATCCCGTTTGTTTTCGGAAAGAGTGGGTTTCTCTTCATCAGCGAGTTTGTTGGCCGGGAACTCCGGTGCGGGCTGATGTCAGGGCGGGCACATCGGGCTCCCCAGCCTCCTGCCGGGATCGGTGACTTGGTGGCCTGGACAGGGCGCCAGCCTCTCCTTTGCCCACAGGGTCGGGATGTCCTGGGAAAGTGTAAGTTTTTAGATTTAAAGTTAACCCTGAAGCTGACTGTGGTAAGCATTCTTTTCACTTCGGTTTTTTAAATCAGTGACCGTTTATAACCACAGAAGCGAGGCAGGTCTTAGAGCTATAGGTGCAGGCTCCAGAATCAGCCTCCATTTACAGAGGGTCTGACCGCCAGCCTCACCGTCCCCGGATTTTAATTAGAATTATGCCATTCAAAATGTCACTGGCTTTTTCTGATGCCGAATGTGCAGCCAGGAACCAGGAGGAGGCTTTGAGCACAGTGACCTGTGCCTCGCCTCTGGCTGCTCGGATGATGACAGGAACATCAGTCACTTGTCTCCATGCATATTTTATAATGTCAATTGAGTATGATGAAATATTAAAAATATCATTCATTAAATATTCAAAAGTTCAGTCTTTGAGGCTGGCCAGCTCTCTTCATTCTACTGCCAGCCTAAGGAGCAATTTAGAAAATCTGAATGATAAAATTAGAATACTGGAAAAAAGCAGAGAATTAAGAATATCACTATAAAATTATTTTTTTGCCTTGAACCATTAGTAATTTTCAGCTGTAGCAGAAACACACATTTTACGCTATTACCTTTTACTACTTTCTGCTATTTTAGATTTCCTGCACTTTGCCCAGTATTTTTGCCTTCTTACTGGGTTAGAGAAATTCACTTAAAGTCTAAGAAGTGTTACAGATTCACATATTGGAATGATCTTCCATTTCATTTGCTTTGCTTATAATTTTATTAATACAACTTTAAGTATGAAAACAAATTGGGATTTACTATTGCCCTTCAGGGCACATTATTAACAGTAAGTTGAATGGATAGCCTCTGTGTTTTGAAAGGAGAGATCATTGACAAGCTGGAGGGTCGTCACAGTGGCCTGTTGTTACCTGTCACCCTGTAGCCATGCAGCGGCCAGCCTGCGCACAGCAGTGTCAGAGCAGGTGCACGAGAGCAGCGGGAGTAACTGTTTAGGAAAAGCCCAGCCCGGCTGCAGAGTGAGGCTAGTGCCTGTGTTCAGAGGACCTCCCCACCCCCCCCCCCCCAGCAAAGGCTGCCGCGGACTCGGCCCTCACAGCGCCATATCACACACACACCCACGCCCATGAGCTCAGCGCCCTCCGGGTGCAGCTGAAGAAGGGCAGGCGCACCAGAACTTGTGAATTCTCTGCTCTCCCCAGGCCCCTGGCCCGGGCAGCTTCTGTATGGGAGAGCTTTTCCAAAGGCTCTTTAAACCTTGGCCTCTGCCGAAACCGGTGTGGCTCAGTGGATAGAGCGTCGGCCTATGGACTGAAGGGTCCCAGGTTCGATTCCAGTCCAGGGCATGTACCTTGGTTGCGGGCACATCCCCGGTAGGGGGTGTGCAGGAGGCAGCTGATCGATGTTTCTCTCTCATCGATGTTTCTAACTCTCTATTCCTCTCTCTTCCTCTCTGTAAGAAATCAATAAAATATATATTTTTTAAAAAAAACAACAAAAAAACCCCACAAAAACGTTGGCCTCTATTATGTGGTTTTGACATCCCACTTGGTCCCCCATCATCTAAGCACAGGTCACCTTTCCCGACAGGTCCCTGGTTTGCACGTGGTCCGCCAGGTTCTCTGTCTCCTTTGCTTTGAATATTCACCTGTCAGAAACAAAGCCACACCTTCTCCATGTTTACACACCAAATCATATCTGCTTTTCAGTTCTCAGCACCAAAACTACCTCCTCTAGGAGAGGATTTCGAACCAGGACACTGACTTTTTATAATATATATTTTTGTTGACTTCAGAGAGGAAGGGAGAGGGAGAGAGAGTAACATCAGTGATGAGAGAGAAGCATTGATCAGCTGCCTCCTGCACGTCCCACACGGGAACGAGCCTGCAACCCAGCCATGGGCCCTGACCAGCCGTTGAAACGTGACTTCCTGGTTTATAGGTCGATGCTCGACCAGAGCCATGCCAGCCAGGCCAGGACATTGATTTTATTTGTGTTCCTCACCCACTCATTCATTGGCCCGATCCTTCCCGAGTGATGAGATGCTAGTTAGCAAACAGCAAAGGGTCAGCCACTCCCAGCATCTGTTTCTGCCCATGTCTGAGGGGATGGGACAAGGTGATGGGATCTTTCCCCACAGCAGTCCCTGTGGCCTCTCCTGGGTCTGACACTGTCAGCCTGGCACGTGTGACAGCTTGATCACACAGCAGCCTGTGACGTGGGCACTGTTCCTGGCCTCGGTCTACGTGGAGGAAACAGGCCCTTGGAGGCAGCAGGTACCTGCCCCAGGGTCCCAGGCTGCTCCGCTGCCCTCGCTGTGCCCAGGTGGCGATGAGCAGTAGGAGAGGTGGAGCCAGAGGTGGGTGCTGGGGTGGTTGGACGAGGGAGCATCTGAACAGAGGCCTGAAACTCTGGCCTGGGACTTGAGAGGTCAAAGCTATTTTAATATCGAGACGTTGACTTGCTTTCCCTCATCCTCACGAGAGCGTGGTGGTTCGCTAGAGGCCCCTGGTGTGGGCGCAGCCCCCGGCGGTGCCACGGGGACCGCTGGCTCCGGTGAGGCCGGGCCGTGAGCGCAGACTCGCAGGATGGAAATGGTCCGCTCTCCTTGGTGAGCGTTGTCTTTAAAATGCATTTTTTATGAAAATGGTGCTTATGTTAACTTATAGTGGTTTTGTTTGTTTTTTTAGGGAATTAATAAATGTTAAATTTATCTTGGTTTTAATTTCCAATACAGTAAATTCTGACAGGTAGGTGGGTAGGTAAATGAGATGGATGGTAGATCCCACATGAACAAATGCTGTGAGGATCTGCAGTAACTGTTTGGTGTGGCCGGTCCTGGTGCACATACTGGCGGACACTGTTCGGATCGGGTCTGTCAGGAGGACAGGAATGCGCTGGTCACTGGCTCCTGTGGTGAGTCCAGGAGAGCAGAGAAGCGGCTGCAGCTGCGTTCTGCGTGCGCGCAGTTTTCAATGCAGTTTCCCCTCATGGCCATCTCAGCGAACCGTGCACATCGGTGCTTCTCGCTTCCTCCTCTCTCTCAAATGAATTTAAAGCTCTTTTCAAAGAGAGTGATGTGTTCTGACCTGCCTGCTCCCTTCCTTTGTCACACAGCTAACAAGCACAAGCCCTGGCTGGAGCCCACCTACCACGGCCTCGTCACCGAGAACGACAACACGGTGCTGCTGGACCCCCCGCTGATCGCCCTGGACAAGGACGCCCCCCTGCGCTTCGCAGGTAGG